TTGAGTTTATTTCGCTTGATGTGGCATTAACTCTGAAGAATGTTTAACATTGAAATGAGGGATTCACGTATCAACGCGAGAAATCTAATTTCTTAACGTTCGTAGAAACAAATTATCCTTTAAAGAAAATCTTTCAACAAACTGAGATATTTTATAAAACGATTCATTGTATAAAATTCAAATTACAATATTTTAACTGTCGTTAATTTTTACACTTGATTTGAATCGATACGATCAACGAGATGTAAATTTATCACACACCTTTTGTCTACCTATACACAATTAAAACGAACGTAGATCTTAGATGCTACAATTGATTGAAAAATTAATGTATGTAAAAGCGATAAGCGATATCAGCGCGCGTGATTCTGAATTTTTCTTTTTTTTAAAGGTAAAACAGAGCTTCGGTGGCTGCAGTTTCCAAGCAGTGGCAACGTAAATATGTGCCATGATAAAATTTTAATAATATAAATGATATTGAATTCCATAAACGATTTCGTGAATCCTTTATGATCGTGCAAATAATAAATTTCGTCACTTTGTAACTTTCAACGGTGCGTTTTATTTTATAATTTTTTTTTTCCTTCGTTTACCGGCCCCGGTTTTCCAAACCTCTCGATATCGCTCTTTTTAATTTCGTAAAAATCCTATCTGATCTTGCGATATTGCTCAACGCTTTTAATGAAAAATTCCATTTGCCGTTTAAAATTGGAAATGAGAACGAAAACACGGCCTAACTAATTCGATTTAAAATGAGGGGTGTCCGATAACCTTGAATACTCCTTTCGATTCGACATCGCTGATACATTACGATATATATATGGTGTAATACAGAAATCAACTTAAAAGCTTATTCATATCAGACCGTACATTTTTACGAACGCGATTAAAAGAATGGCGTCTAAATAGAAACTCGTTTCCACTCTTAAATATTATAACAAGTGTTCTGCATATTGTGTACACTCTCTGCATTATTGCAAACTTTCTCACAAATGTACAAATGTACCTGCGGTCTATTTACCACGCAATCTAACACTCGCCAGCGTGTCGTCGAATATTATACGAGCCTGCATATCAGGTCGTAGCACGTATTGCCGGGAAATATCTGCGATCTGACGTTAGTCGTAATTGTCGATCGCATTTTTTTCTCGCGGCCTGTCGACGATAATTGCCGTAACACCGGCGTAATATTTCAAAACACCTGCTGTGTAACGCGTTCATGTGTCGTACGGCCTATCAAAACCGCCCTCTAAATTGATTCAATTGTCGTTCCCCGAGGGAAAGAGCGGCCTCCTCGCGCGCTTATTTTTCGGGAACCCGGTAAATCCGTTGACCGCGACTGCTATTACTTTCCTCTTTTTCCCACGTGTATGCGTGTGTACGTGTGTGCACGCGTGCATAGTCTTTTTTCGTTGTTGCTTTCTTTCTTTTTTTTTTTTTTTTTTTTTTCCCCACCAGCAATCCCGTCGCTTTTCTCGAGGCTAAAAATTATTGTCGCGGGATCGAACGTTTCAAACTCGCGTGCATGGGAATGCGCGTGCCCGATAAACTTCCGAGCTAAACGTTTCAAGGCGTTAAATCGAGTGCAACGTGTTCCTCCTTCGCCGGCCGGAATTGCTTTTTTCCCGTGTTTGTTATTTGGAAAACGATTCTTTTCGATTCTGTCCGCAACAAGTGGCCAGGATATTAAAAAAATTTCATGCGCGCGGTGGTACATCTTTTACGGGGGGGGGGGACGTTTCAGCGATGTAACGGTCTGCGAATGAGAAAATCAACGGAATAAAGTTGTTATGATAATGGCGATTCTTAGTTGATCGCGTGCATTTCGTCTTTGAAATGATGAAATAAATTAATCTAATAATGAATTTCGTTTAGAAATTCTTTATTTCGTTAAATCTTGTGCTAAATTTTAACGCGGTAGATACTAATTTATACTGTGACTCTTTTTTACAAATTCATAGTTTTGTAAAGATAATTAGGAAAAACGAATCTGATGAAAACAATCCAAAAATAAATATTACAACGAATACTCTATGTTGGATATTTTATAAGTGTGAATTTTGCATAAGAGGTTTTATAGTTGACTTCATTTGTCTATTGAATATTTGAATTCGACATTTTTAAATGATCTCATTCGTTAATAGAGTAATTGAATTTGACAATATTCAATGAAGAATTGTGAACTCTAATCTCACAGTAAGACAAACATTGCCTGGTTACATAGAAATATTAAATCTTCAAATTCTGAATTTATTTAGATCTAATCAATCCAGTGCATTTTCTGGTTAATTCTTATCATTTCATTTTGTTAATTCTTTGCAAATGGATCAAATTATTTGTTCACTTCATCCCTCCAAAACTCTGACCATTTTATCAAAAAATTCTGATACGTACGTAGTTCGATTTTCTTCAAATTCTACGCTATGATGACTGTTTGATGATTACATAATAAAGAGATGTGTCATGTGTACGATATTTCATCAATATCAATTTTTTTACTACATTGTTTAACAATAAAAAAAATTTAACACTCCCAGATTCCACTACCATCGAATAGTTTAATTGCATGAAACTGAAAACGAGAAAAACGATACGTACGCGCGGTGTGTATGTATTAGAAGTACGTACATGCATTTTCAAGTGTTCTTGTTGACTTAACTACAACAGTCCATTCGAGTGGGAATGCGTAAATGTTTGGAAGTTGATGGAGAGCGTTTTGAACATCTATTACAATATTTTGACCATGTTAAACATTTAGTAAGTAGTAATGGCTACCATTTTTTATGTTAATCTTGTCAGGAAAGCACGAGCTTTATCAAAAAAACTTTATCAAAAAAGTAGAGTAATAATGTATGGTTTCTGCACGTTTTATGTAATCACGATATTAAAAATATGGAATTTTATTTAAAATGATGAAAGTAATCTTCAGAATTCAGAAAATTTCTCTATCTAAAAATATTTCGTTTGTCGCAAAGAAAAAAATCTTTTTAAAATAAAATTATCATAAACGTTCTATTTCAGTTTTGTGGTGTATCATTTTATTTGAAAGATATTCGCATGTTAAAAATGCAAAAACATGGATTTTAAAGTGTAATTTAAGAAATAATTTAAAAACTCTTCGTCGTTTCAATCAATTGCACGATATTTCCCGAGTAAGACAATGTGTATTCGTCTTTAAAAAATTTTATTTTTTTAATACTTAAACTTGTTTACTTATATTTATAAAATTGTCACCATTGTGCTTGAAAAGTTTTGTCGCCTGTGCATCATTTTTAAATATGATACAAATTGTCTTTAAAAGAGATATGATTAAATAATGCGGTTACCGTGGTGTAAAATAATTATTTCGCAGTTAAATAGCAATTACTCGCGACTCTTAATTAGAATTTGCAATGTAATATTAATCAATAAATACAAATAAATGCGACTGTTTATTCCGCTTATTTTGTTGAAAGCGGTGATTTTGTAAGTCCATCTGTTGGCGTATAATATATATATATACATACCTCCTGCTCATTCAAAACTTTCATATAATAATAAATAAACATGCATGACAAATATACTGTCTCGCATTGATTTTATACTCGTTTCTATATGTCATTTTCATAATATAGAGATATTATTTACTGATTTCAAACGCGTAATAATAAACTTTAACAATTTTAATAATTTTAATATATCCTTTGAGTTAATCGAGTAGTCAAAATGTAAATGATTAAGGATCGCTCATTTGCGTAATTTATCAAATTCAGAAGAAAATTATTAAATCATATGAAACTTCATTATCTGCCGTTTCAATGCGGGAAATTCAATTCATAAAAGTGAAAACACAACATCGATCAAGAGATACCTATTGTTTTTACATTATGTGACTATTTGAAGGGTAGTATTAAATTTCCTGTCGATTAAAATCTTTATTGCATTGTTATAATTATGTGTAATGTGACAGAAGTACGTATTAAATGTTCTACTATTTTAATTCAATCTAGTACCATGTTATCTACTATTCCAATTCGGTAATGCCTGCCGTTACTAATTTCTATTATAATTTAATTACAGCTATAATTAATTGTAAATTTGCAAGTAAACATTTACAACATATAAATTATGAAGTGTCGATTTTTTGGGATAACGAATGAGTGTTTATGGAAATTGGTACCTTTTAAAAAGTTATTAAAGAAATTGTTCCATTTACTAATCCTTACCTTTGTTTGAATTTTCTATATAATTTTATTTGTATTATATATATTCCGCAAAGTATTGCATCTTTAAACTTTCCACAAATGCACTAGGATTTGCAATCTATTTATCATAATATCTAGTAATCTAACTGAACACATGGATTTTCGTCGCCGGTGACTAAAATTGCGGATGTTTATGCAAATTCACAGTTTTATAAACACAACTAACGAAATGAAATCAAAATATAGACAGCTAGAGTGAAATTCCTTTCACAAGGTAAATTTTGTAACGCCACCCTTTACGCTGTATATTTTATATATTTTTAAGTGTTGTGCGTAATTTGAACCATCCAAATTTCTCGTAAATGCATATTAGTTCTACAAAGAGAAGAAAAATAAAAGGGACTTTATTTGAAACGTTGTCAAAATACAAAAAGAGCAATCGGCTGACGCTAGAAAAGTCAGCGCGATGTTAAATTTTTGTCGAAAGGAAATAGAAGATAAAAGAGACTTTAATCGATACACGGGCAAAATAAAAACAGAGGATTCGGCGATGTGCAAAAATTTGCCGAACACATAGAACTCTTACATCAAGTTCCAATATTGTCCTGGTTAACAACAAACAGAATAATATGTACACAACGTCGTACAAAATTCAATCATACAAATTAACTGCTTGCATCAATTTCGTTTACCTTGTAACCCAGTCGAATCGCTCGATTCGATCGAACAACCGGCGAAAACGCCAAGTGCTTGTTATACTTTCAAATTATGCTATTTCCTGAAAACGTTGGCGATCGACGAATCAATGACGACCAGGAAACACGATATAAAACTTTCATTTCGAGAATAACAATCAGTTTAGCTTTGAAAGTTCGCAACAACGCAATTCGATAATTAATTTTAATGACAATCAATATCGATTGTTTACGATTCTTTGATTACTTCGCGCGGTTCTAAATCAAATATTTAAACGGCACGAGTTATTACGCATTTAAATTATGAATTTGTATTTTAAATGAAAGAAGATTTGTAAATAATTTGAAAATTTGGTTAATAATATTGGTTAACAGCAGTGAGTAATTTTACATTAAAAATATGGGTTGCTCACCACCACGTTTATTAGTGAATAATAAATTTGCTAACTATGAAAATTAAATTAGAATGTCAATCTTACACCAAACTAACCAAAGTCTTTTCTGTTGATTAAATTCATTGGCACGAGGGAAGTTTAATATAAATCTTTTATTTCACTTGGCTCGAAACGTTTTTTCAATAAATTAAGACCGAGATCTTTCTAACTATTTCTTAAAATTTGAAATACATTTCAAACCATAGATATATAAATTGTACAGAATAATTTGACAATGCAAGTAATATTCAGTATTACTTAAAATATTTAAAAGATGAAAGTAATTTTGCATATTATTTAAATTTAAATTTACGTGAACTCAGTCTACTCATTAATTAGCTAAATGATAAATTTGTTTATTCCAAGACCAATTTTTCAAATTTCAGTGCATTACATTTTCTTAAATCAAAAATGTGTTTCTACCATTAGTAATTATAAAAATACAATTCTCTTCTCAATCTAAGAAAAAATTTAATGTTGAAATAAAATTCAACTCGTTCCAGTTCGAATAACTATACTTACCTAAACGAAAACTTAAGGTCAAAATCATCACTCTCGAATCTGACGAAAGTGTACGAATAATTTTCCAATTCAGTGGATATACGTAATGTCACTAGACATTTCTTTAGAGAGCAACGAAGCTCTTGCACGTCGGCCGGTAATTTTTCGAAATTTTTGTGACGCGTCAACCGGCTCTTTCGTACGAACGTGAATGGCTAATCATCGGGTGTAATTTGCCGTAGTGCTCCGACGACAAAGACTGCCGTGGACCGTTCGTATGCAACCCATGGGCTGGCCAATGCACCAAGAAAATGAATCCGCCACTGCTACCGTCACAAGCAAATCAGCTAGCCGACGCATCACCTAGCAATGAATCGTTGATCGATCGATATCAACGTTATTTCGTTGGCTTATGAATCCAAACGCGGTATTAGAATCTTAGAATTATGTTTTTCTATTATCATATATCTGTAGATACATTAAGGCAAATATATGATACGTACACATTAGGACTAAATTATTTCCTAATTATTTAAATCTAGATTTTAGAATCCTTTGCTACTATCAAGAGCTATAATTATAAATAAAACTTTCTACTATCAAGAGCTATAATTATAAATAAAATTTATAAATAAAGGAAATTGTATCACATGCGAAACATTAATGAAAGCAAATACACAAAAATTGACAGCGTAGTCATAATAACTTAAGCCTATATTATTTAATTTTGATTGAATTTCATTATTGATTCTTATCTGAAAGAAAGTAAAATGTGAAATACTTGGCATAAGTACCCAAAGCTTCTTAACACAAGTTATAACTAATCAATTTACTAATGTTACTAGTTCGTAAGTTGTTGTGTAAGTGAACCAAAACAATGAAAGCGAAAATAAATTGAAAATGAAAATATTTTATTGAATCGAGCCGCATCCGATTGTCAATAATTACTTAAATAATTTCGAAAAAGATAAGTATATGTATAATTATGGTTCAATTTAAGCTTATACTCGTATATCATTGATTTACACGATTTAAAGGATCGCATTGGCAAATAATAAGAGTGGAAAAAACGTTCGAGGACAATCATATTTTCCAATAAAACATAACATGCGTTAATTATCGTTTAATAAATACTGTTCAATTCCTTTGCTCGCCCGACAGAACTTTCTATTAGTTGCCAGCTTTATTGTCTCTTAATTAATTTATAGAGAACTTTGCCCACAATTAAAAGGCATTGTTAATTCTAGAATAATAAAAACGATAAGTTGTACATATCGGTATGTAAAAGATAAAGTTGGAAAAATCCAGGATCCGATTATTAGTAACTACCTAACATCTACACACATGTTCAACGTACACTGATATCTCTTCTTCGAAGAAATTATTGAACCCTCCATATCAAAAAGACAATAATATTTTATGATAACGTGATCGTTGATCGACATTTGCCTCCGCCCATTTATTTACATACTCTGCTATTTCTAAAAGAACTTGAATGATGCCAATCGGTTAGTAAAAGATAGTCTTTACATACGGTTTACAGCTTTAATATTATCATAAATAAGTTTAATAGGATCCTTTCATGTGTAAAACTATGAAATTATTATTTGACGGTCAATTTAGAAATTAATTTTATTAATTTCATTACAAGAAATTTTAAAATAAAATAAAATAAATATTCCAAACACAATTTTCATACATGATTCGTTTGTGTTGAGTTCAATTTTTTATTCATACTGAATAAAATAATAAAGTTCTTCAAGAATTATTGCAATTATCAAACAATACTGTTTGCACATATTGTAAAACATGATGGTATCATCTCCTGAAGATATAAAATGTTCGCGAGCCACTATTCGCTAACAGTATTCGTGAGTTGTTCGTCGGTGAGTGTACACTTTTTGCCTTATAAATCATTTTTTCTCAGAAAGCTTTTGCATTGATATTATTCATTTAAATATTAGCTGTAATCAATAGTCGTACTTCCAGCGTCAACCTTTATTTCAGAACGCCGGTTGATTGTACTTTTAATGAACATCTAGCCGCGTTAATACGAAAGAAAATGATTTAAACAAATGTTTCATACGGGGAGGAATTAAAAATTTGCGTTTTATCTATTTTGCCGTTGCGAAACGTATTGAATCTCTGTTCTGTGAAATATAATTATTAAATTTTTGAGGAATAATCGCAGAACCCGCTGAACCATACGTAATAGAAGTAATGTTTCAATTTCACTGCACATTTTGTGTCGCGCAAATATAACAGCAAAAACGAATGTAATGGTGAATTTTTATGAGCTATGAGCAATCGGACGGAATTCAACGTGAAATATGAGAAAAGTTCGCAGTTATGCTCGCAACGTTTCTGTTATGTTTTTCTATTAGATCTCCGTGCAGAAATATGTGTAATTAGCACGAAACGTTTATAAATAAGGAGAATAATAGAAAATTTCTCTATTAATTTTAATTATAATCTTTATTCAATTTCTTGGTGGTATTTTCTATGCCTGAGATATCTACCACAAATAAGAAGAATTTTATATTAGAAATTATAAAATATAATAGAAAACTCACGATTAATAATATATTAATTTTAATTATAATCATTATTGACTTTTTGTGTTATATTCTCTCTATCTTTATGTCTAAATTTTGTTTGATATTTGTTGCAGCTTCGATATCTACTGAAATGAGATTTTTGAATCTTACTCTGCTATTTGTGGCAGTCTTCACTGCTGTTTTATCGTCAGCATCAAAACCAGACATCCGTTGCAGCCCTTTGGGAGGAAGAGTAAGTGTTACTTATATCAATCACGAAAAAGAATCCATGAAATATTGTATATTAATATATTTATTACAAATACTTCGGTTTTTGTTCGTTCTTCTTTTTTTTCTGCTTGTTCGAAAATGATAATCGAGACTTTTTTTGTTAGAAATCTTAACCTACATTTACTTTTGTTTACAAATGATAGGGTTAAAAGCAAAGCACTTAAAGTGTGCATTTCATATTGTAATCTTGTGATAACAAGATACAATAACATTTAGATGATCTTGTCAATAACATGACGATGAATCGAAGAAAACATGATAGCTTGTTACTTGAAAAATACTTTTTTTTCGTTTAAATATTTTATGATACTAATATTTTTCATCTATTATTCTAGTGCCGACTTACTGAAGATTGTTGTGACCATCTTGCTTGTCTCTTTTACTTAGCAAGATGCGTGCAAGCTCTATAATGTATTCCAGGATTGTATAAAAAACTTGGAAATGAATCATTTCTTTTTGGTTATCCAAGTAATACTTGACTTAACGTCAATTTCATATATTTTTGTACTGTCAGTTCGCTTGTTTATAAAGCAAAACATTACTAAATTAAATTAATATAATAAATATGTATATGAATCTTTTTACTGCATAAAAATAATAATATTTAGTGACACAGAGTAACAATAATTCTATCATTATACAACGTTTCGTATAACATACACAGTAAAAAGATGAAGTTGAAATATTTTCGTGAGACACTGTATCTTCTCCATGTACATTGTTGTCACCATAAGTAAAACGAAATTACAAAAGAAAGATAACCAAATATAGAATGTAAAAATTTTATGTTTGAAACCATTCACTTTTGCAGTGGCGATATTTTTCAAAAGTAGATTCACCAGCGAGAGAAAGAGGGAAAACCACGGTGGCCCGGTGATACATAGTGAAATTCAGTGTCGTTAAAGGAAACAAAACAAAAAAAGGAAAAAAAAGGGGGGAATGAAATAAAAGAAAAAAAAAATATAAAACGATAGGAGGCGGGAGAGAAAGGAAAAGAGAAATAATCGACGTTTTCACTTGGCTACCGTCTAGGGATAAAAGGACAATATTACCGGATGATTCGGTTTTCTTTCCTGTTGTTTCCTATTAAGCGAATTAAAGAACAAGAGGGCTTTGTCGGCAGATCAATGGAATGTATAAAGCCTGCAATATGCAGTCGATGGAATATCGGTGCAGAAAGCAAAAAGTGCTCGACCATTTCATAGCGACGAATGGAAAAAGAATGTTCGCGGTGGCTGCCTCTTTTCAATTGTTATACAGTTTAGAGTATAATCGGAGTGAATTATAATTGCGCGGGGGAGGAGGGGTGATAGTACATCAGGTTTCGGCTTTCTCGAATTTGTCGAGATACACGCAAGCCTCGAAAGTATTATTTCCCCGCTATAAGCTAAATACCAAGCACGGAACAATCCGCAGTTACTATAATTTAACCGGCTGCGCTCTTTCTCTTCTTTATCTTTTCTCCGTTCTTCCTTCTTTTATTTTGTTAAAACGGGAAAAAAGTAAAGGGCGTAGGTATTTACGCAGTGTCCCTGGAATCATGTGCAAAAATAAAGAAACAACATTTCGGAAAGAATAAACGAATAGCAGTTTTTCATTTGAGGCTTTCTCGAGAAGAAATCGAGTTTGAAAATTTCTCAGGCACACTCGAATCCGGCTAACATTGAGACGCAAAAGAGTGAATAGTAAACGTATACTTGATAAATTTTCAAATTTAACTTTCTCGAAAACGAAGGATCTTAAAATCTTAAAATTGTATTCTATACTTTGACTTTATAGAATATAGCAGATAGAATAACTTCTTGTTCGTTATTCATCCCTAACCAGTTTAGGATAAGCTAAATTTAAATGCAGTTGGTCAATTTTCAAACGTAATCTACTCTTGATTTGATAATAGAGTCTTGAATGAAAGAATACTATTGTTTCGTTTGACATAATTTCCTGTAAAGGCAATAAAGATCGAAGGTGGTGTTTCATCGCTTATGCTCGTACATTGTGTCGCGAAATTGAAAAACGGACTGCACAAGTAACAAAGACAACGGGATTTCCCAGGTTTATCGACTTCTTTGTTATTTTTATTCGCGTTTCGCCGATCATTTATATTCTCTAAACGTTATCCATTTGATTAATTCTTCTTTTCTTCTATTTGTTTTTTTTTTTTTTTATGAGCAATAATTGCGCAAAGTTACCTTGCGGTCTTAAATGCAGTGAAATACTTTACCGATGAAAACTTGCGCGAATGTTTAAAAACAGTCTGTGATAAAAAAAAAGAAAAAAACTGATAGAAATATATTTGCTGTGTGCATACTCGTTGTGTACATTCAGCTTTCAAGAACAAACTGTATCACGTATTTCCGGTTTCCGACAAGTTGCTCGCTTTTTCCATTATATCTTGAAAACACTTTCAGTGCAATGAAATGAGTCGGAGCATAATTATATACATGTATTCTGCGTGATAATTGAAAAATAAAAGCAATTGCCTTGTTTGCTATTAATTACAATTCTTCTATGGCTTAATTGTAATTTTATTTCTTCCCTCTGAGTTATGCTCATATTATTTAAATTTCTTCTAATTATATTACAATCATTTATGTATGATTTAAGTATCTTTCAATCATATTTAAACTATATAATTGTAGTTAATCACCTCTTTACTTAAACAAGACAGTATTAATCACATTTAAATTTGTGACTCATGTTATTTCACAACGTGAGTTCTATTTCCATATCTTTCATTTCTGTGTAAGTGGTATAGAATTTCCTTTCTTCAAACCTAAAACTATAATTCTTGAACAATTGAATGAATAAGATGAATTTAATACCGGTCATAGAAATTTCAGTTTATAAGTTTATAAATTTTACAAATTATTTCTCTTATAAACGCTTGTCAATCTTGCAAGAATAAAAATACAAATAATAAAATTAATTAATTAATTAATTTAATAGTAAATCATAACATAGTAATCCCAAGAGACAATTGCTATTCGCAAGTGTCTCTGGAATAAAAATCCCAACAAAGAGAAGAATTACAAAAAAAAGAAAAGCGTGGACAGCTAATTGCTGAAATGAAAATTCATTTGTGCAACAAAAAGCGAGACATAACCGTGTGGTGGATTTCTTAAAACCGAGTCACGTGTACAAGAAATATAATATTTCTCGCAATTACGTCTTACGCTCTTCCAGCTACGTACACGTACTCCGCTTGCTGTATGTATAACGCATGACTTAAATATTGGTCAGAGTGACGCGATGTATAAAAGCGTAGTATAGACGAAGTTGAGAAATCAGTTAAGGCCGAACTGTCGAGACCATCATTGTGAAGAAAACGTTGTGAAATCGCTCCGACGATTCAAGTCGTATCTGGTGAGTAGCATTCAGACGCAGTTTCTCTGTACGAGCAAGCAAATTTCTTCCAAATAGATTGAAGATACATATTTCCGATCCATCGTGATAAATTAATTAAAACTACAAGATCCGATTGTGAACTTTAATGACAAATATTGGTAAGTAATTCTTGAGACGAACACACGTTTTGGAGTGATTGAATACGAACAAAATATGCAAAATTGTATGAAGAGAAAGTTAAATACACGGTCAATGGTAAATTTTCTCAAATTTCCAAGTAACTTCTCCTCGATGCGTTAACTAGAACGTGCATCGAACTTTGAACGTATACTGTTGTCACATATTGTTGTTATTTATCTCAAGCTACTACTGTGCTTTCGAAATGATTGTCTTTTCGCGAATCAAACGTCACGATTTTAAACGTATACTTGACAATCTTGAAAGTTGAAAATAAAATCGATAAATTGTACCAAAGAGACAGAACAAATTTAGATTGGCTACGTTGCTAACAAATAATTGAAAATACTACTCGAAAGTTAAATAAAAATTAAGATATAAATATTGAAACTAAAAACCAGTTTTATTAAATACGGTCTAGATTAAAAGTACTGTTCTTACTCATTTCTAACAATAGAAAATTCGAGATATAACTGCATTGCATATTTATAAACTTGCATGATAAGTAATGTAGTACAGTTACTTAAGCAAACAGAGATAATCAATGCGCGACTTGTCAAGAATTGCTCATGGAGGAAAAATAAAGTATGTTTCTTATTTTAGTCTGGTCACTTCGCTCACTAATTATAAATATTATATATAATATAAAATTAAAATGAAAGAAAGAATTAAGTCGGTCTTGTTAAACCTAGTTTAACTAAAAGTATTTATACATTAACAATAAAAAAAATCTCGAGATAATAGCATTACATATTCATAAAATTTGCATGAAAATTAATGTAATAAACACACTGAAATAAATAGAGATAATTAATTCATGATACAGTAGCGATTTTTTAACGAGAAAAAGACCATACAATGTGTTTATTACTGTCTCATGATTTCTGAGAAACGAAAGAATTCCGTCATACGAAATACGTGACAAGGATTTAGCGAAGTAGATTGATACTGTTCACGGCCGGCCGTGGCCATGCACTTTAGTCCGTTCGCTATTCAAGAACGAGTCAGGTCAGTAGTTAATGACTCATTCACGGACACCTGTATACATTACTGCGTATGGATCACACACGTGTTCGTTGCGTAATGAGAGTTTCATGAAGGACGATCTTCGCAGAATTTTGCACAAAAATCAAAAAGATATAATTATATAGGAATGAGCATCGGTTTTCTTCCGAAATTTATTTCTGAAATACGATCGATCGCAAAAGTAATGAACAAGAAAAAAAAAGTTTAATATTAGCGTTAAAAATATTAAACTTATAATATTAGTGAAAGAAATATGTTCAATCTAGAGTTTCGTGACTGCACTAAATTTCACAAATAAATGAATGTGAAAAATGTTTCGTTTGTTACGCCTCTTCGCAAATAATAATTTAATAGGTAACAATAAAATCCTTGGCTCTGCACGGTATTAAAAAATTGTGGCAAGAGAAAGTGATACAATTTTTTCTTATTTCCAGCGTGAAACTACATCAACAAAATGTCCAAGTTTATGCTGTTCGTTTGCATCGTTTTGCTGGCTACGACCGTCATTACGGCTGCTCCCAACTCATGCGGTAGACACGGTGACCCTGTAAGTAAAAAGTTATTCCATCATTTCTCCAACTGTCTACGTAAAAAAAGAAAAAAATCATGTAACGTGTCGGTTCATTGTCAATCTGCGATTTCGATACTGCGATAAAAATTTGTAAACTGCGTTGATGCAATCTTTCATTCGCAATTCTTTTCAATGAATTTATATTAACGGATTCAATTTTTCGAATATCGAGACAATGTTCAAAATTCCAAGTTCGCTCAATATTTTTGCTTGTACCTTATTTAAATTTTATAACTTCTTAAATTTTAATGAAATTCGTGTATTTATAATAAATTTATCATTGTTAGAGGACATCAAGTCCAATTTTATTCGTACGTTGAAGGATAAAAGCGACGTTAGAAAATTATGTTAAGATATTTAAATGTCCCGAATCTTTATATAAAATGGTGGAAATGATCTCTATTTCATTCGGTAAAACTTGTACTATTGTAATGACTATCATACAGACATGTGTTGATCAGGCACGTTCGACGTTAGCTTAACACAGGTCATAAAGAGGACCAGACATAAAAATAATAACAGGGTTACGCGAACCAGTTCCGCTAACTAGAGTCTCGTGCGCGATGACAGCCTAAAATAGAATTTTAAAGCAGCCGTAATAATATGCGGCTAGCGGTTGCGCAACGTCATTTATACCAGCTGATAAATTCGCTAACGCGGATTTATTTCTTCATTTCAGTGCGTTTCCACCAGAGACTGTTGCTCGAACATGAGATGTCACGTGTACGCGCAGAGGTGTCAGGTACAGATCACCGAGGAGGACTTGTTAAATGCACGTGAGAAGATCCTTGGTCGGAGAGGGAAGGATTATTAAGTAATTAACAGCGATAAATATATATCGATCAAAGTTTTCAATGAATCAGACTGATTTTCAAAACAATCTGACATGTCTCGAAGTTAATAAAATAAATCATGCGTAAAAGCACAATTCAATTATATTGTTATGTTTCTTCACTATTGAAAGTGCAGTCTTGTTTGGACTAGTCAGGTTAGTAAAGTCTCAAATTGTGAAAGCCACGGGAACTTTGAACTGAAGAAACAAACTTTGGAAAAAAGTGATTTTTGAATCGTGAAGGAATATCTCTCAATTCTATTTTGTAGTGATGAGAGAGAGTTCCAAAACATCTTGCAAATTTATGAAATTGTTTTCAGTTATGAAGATATTGTATATCAATTATAAATATAATAAAAATATGATTGAATACAAAGTTCAGAAAATTTACAGTGGTTTGCGAAAATATTCGAACAGTTGCATGTGTATTACATGCGTTATGTAAAACATTTTGAAATTTCATTAACATTGTATCGAGAAATAATTATTTTGATCATACTGCTAAAATTCAAGACCAATCTGAGAATATATAAAGAAATTACAAGACACTCGTTATGATTTCTGCAAAACGTGTCCTATATAAAATCTTGTATTCAATATCTTGTAATTTCTACATGTGTTTTTAATTTCATTATATTTTAATTTTTATACATATTTTCGGATTCATTTGACCAATATAACCATGACAGTTGAATCTCACTACAATTTTAATGGATAATGTTGTGTATTACACACAATATATATACATAAAAAAAACTTCTTACAAAATCTGCTTTTAAAAAAATTAGCGTTTGTTTTTTAATTTCGACGATCTACGTTCGATCGAATATCTAACAAGAGAGTAAACGCGAGCCAACTCCGCGACACTCGGCGTATTATAATTTCCATTCGGCGGAGAGGTCACGATTATTAAGCTGACGATTATTATTATCAGCTCGTACGAGATTATTGCGTTTCATTTTTGAGGCAGAGACCGCCGTACGCGCGATAATATCCCATGGCCGATGTTGGCCCGACGTTATGAAATGAAATTCCGTCGATTCCACGCGAAATCGTTCGAACAACAGCCGCGCGGTTACTTGGAAGATAAACATTTTAGAAAATTATACGCGATCAAGCATGTAATTGCACGGTGGCCGCTGGAAAATTAAGCCGCGCGCGGCGTTCGATTGCGTTACATGCTGTATTGCCAGATCGCGTGTGTGTCGCATCGCGTTTCGAGCTTGCTATCGCCTTTAAATTCGCCGTGTTCGACAACATTATCATTGTTAGTTGAAAATGTGTAGTAAGGCTGGGTCTGTTCGAATCAACTAAGCACCAACATCTTGAAACAGTGTGCCGAACATCGCACAGAGTAATCAAACTCGTATATCACGAATATATCGATTTCGAAATGATGAACATGTGTATAATAATAATACATAACACATGATAAAAACAATATACATATAAGGCACATAATAAAATGATTCAAATAACACTATGATGGAATTATTTGAAACAAGTTACTTCGAAAAGAATTAATAAAATAATTAAAAATAATAAAAATGATAAAGTAAGGACAAAGTAACTCCTAGAAATTCCAACAGATTTTCTCTTGCCCACAGAAAGACATTTGAATTAAGAATGGGAAAGTACTGGAATGGGAGGCAAATAGATGCGTCAGGAACCACTAATGTTGAAAAAACAGTCAATTCTCGGCGAACATTAAGGTTCCTAGACCGTGCCATTTGCTCGACAAGGGAAAAAACCAGAGGCATTCAGGACGATCTGTTAACCTATCTGGTAGGAATCTCGAGACACACAGAAAGACCTCGTCCACCGACGATTTCGATTAAGTCACATATGGCTGATCCAGTTGTCGTTTTATCGAATGATATCGTGGCGATTAAACGAGACCCTTTCTCTTGTCGCGCACCTGTTCCTTTTCGCGTCAATTTTATTTACCAGATTCTCTTTACTTCCTCTTTTTTATCCTTTTTTATTAATCGATTCGCATTTTCGATCAGACAAAGAGTGCCTTTATCAGGAAGACGAGGATAAGATAGGATTATTTGAGCGAAACTAAGCAATTTATCTTGTAATTTGCCAAATCCTGTCATAAAAACTTTTGAGTAATTTATACGTGAAAAATGATGTGTAATATATTGTGCGTATTAAAAACCAACTGGTTATAGTTTATTTAAATTATTGATACTGTATATTGTAATACAACTAAACTGTGGATCTTCGAAACTCTGCGAAATCATGTTTTTGAGAATATGATTTAAAAAAATTGGATGGAAAATTGATGAAAAATAGTTTTGCACTTTAAATAATCATTAAATACAAGAATTTCAACAATTTCTTCTGTATAAAATCATCTGATTTAAGAATATAAAAGGGCTGATATTCTGTTCTTAAATCAGATACATTTTAAACTTGCTATTATATTTTTATTAAATCAGCGTTAGAATGTAACCAAACAGACTGTCTGTAATCGAATCTGACAAAATAACGAGTACACAAAAATTCAACGAACGATTTCACAGAATGATATTCTACATACTTTACTTTGTGCTCGTAATTCACGAGTTGACGGTGGAATTTCCAACTTCGCTGTGTTCGCCAGATGTTAGCAAACTTCGCCAATCGCATTGGAGATTTTAATTTCGACGGAAACGGTTGTTAAAAAATTGAAATCAACCGAAAGGGTAAGCTCTGGCCACTTGGGGAAAAGTTGGCGATCGTTGCTCGACCATACTCCGTCGTGCCATTAAAAGGCATCCTAATTTCGAAAAGTAGACGTACTTTGAATCAAAGACCGAAAGCTTCTTCCGTTCGTTAGACGACATTTTACGTGGTGCTTCAATCTCATTAGTTTCAGCTTAAAGTTAAGCGCCTCAACTCTTTTAGGCCGAGCTGTTTCCGTTCTTTGACCATCGTCGAGTTTACAAAGTTCTTTTCGACGGAAGTTACGCCTGATGGTTACGCCGGGGGAAAAAGAAGAACGCGCGCGAGCAACGCTGCGAGTTCTAAATTTTATTATGCCCGAAACTCAATGAATCTTTAACACGTTCGATGAATTTCACTGCAATCGGTGTTAATCAAAGTGAAGCGGACGTAGTTGAATGAAACAGATAATATTTCAAACGAGAAATTTTCTTATATGATCATATCTTAAACTAATTTACAAACTTGTATATTTTTCAAGCGACAGATTTAAAATTAATAACACGTTAATTATACTATATTTTATATTATTATAAAGTACTATTCATGTATTTCTATTTATCTAACATACATTTCCATTCATTTCCTATCAGCTCTGTAAACAATTTCTATCGACTTTAAACTATATTTAAAATCGTTATCTTGCACGAATCGAAAATTCTGATGAACCAATCGTTCATTACGTCCCACATGAAACTAACAGGTGTCCTAATACCTACAGAGGAAATGTATCAAACTTTAGTTCCCCGGTTGATTAAAATATTCCGCTATTCAAATACACAACTTTTGCATTAGAGTTTCATATTTGTAAGAATGATTCATAAGCCACGTACTCAAAAGCGGAAGCTTCCTTTGTCGAACGCTTATTTAATTTTTGTATTCTCGAATCTCGATCAGCGTGACACCGATAAGATGGTAAAAGTCCTATCTAGCGGATCGAAGGTAAAGGCATCATCGGACAAATATTTGTCTGATGTACCTTATCATGTTCCAGCTTAATTGCCATATGTTATACTCTCATACTTTCTAGCACAGCTTCTATCTTGAGGTGAAACGCGCGTACGTGCTTTTATAAAACGATCGATTTCCATGAGATTTGACGTTCTATTAATTCGAAGCGCTTTCGGATTTAAGCGTTAAATTAATCTTTATTCTTGATATTAATCTCCTATCTAAGCTTCAATATTAAAAATATATTGTCTGACGTCATTTCTACGATAGTGAGTGAATAGTACATATGAAATTCATATAATTTAAAGTAATAAGAATAACGCTAGTAAAACAATGTTAATAAAAGGAATCTAAATTTTGGTATTAAAATTTTGACATATTTGTCTTGACATCAGATATAGAGTATTTTGTTGAAGTACTCTTCAAATTTTCTAACATATTAAAATATATTACATCGTTTTTATTTTACGAAATAGCAAATTAGTTGGAAGATTCTTTGTATTTTATTAAATTAATTCTCAATTATTTCAACTTATTTAAATTACCTCTAATAATAAAAAAAAAAAAATGTTTCACGTTATATTAAACGGTGAACATGAATGTAACACTACTAAGTTTAAGTTAACAAGAGTTATTACTTCTTTTTCATTGAAATAAATATCGACGCTTAATTTTATACACACACAAAACCAATTCACCTCGTTCGCAATCCTAAAGATAAATCGATCCACGTAAGTATTACACTTAGATGGTTGGACGGTGATGGAAATGGAGGGAATCGCTCGCGCGAAAGAGCGAAGTTAACCGAGAAATCGTCGCCGTGGCTGGTAAATCATAAAGGGACGGACACGCGGGTGAAAACCAGAGTGGGAACGAAGTCGACGACGAGTTGGAGACAAACGGGTGAGCGGAGGAAAGCGCTCGAGTGGCGCGAGTCGAGTGTCCCTTTTCGTGGTTCCTTTCAAGTTCTCTTCCGGGAGGCAAGCCAGTAGTCCTTCACCGGCTTTTAAGCTCGTTCTCGTCCGGGCGCGAGAAGCTGCTCGGATGCCAAGAGACACGTTTCGGCGCAATTCCACCGGCGCCTGGCTCACCGCTGGCTTACCGGATGTGCCAAGAACAGCCCATAGCGCCGAGCGCCGGTGAGTTCGTGGGAGGTGGAAAAACGTCGAAAGGACTTAAGTTGGTGGAAGAACGGCGAACGAGCGACGGGCGAACGGAAGAAGAAGCAGGGGTATGTAATGCAGCTGGCACGCCGTAAACATTCGTTGGGCCATAATATGAAAACATTGTCGGATGTAAGCCGGAAGGCACACAGCAATGTGCTGAGCTTAGCTCGGCCGAGCCCCGGCACACCGAGCCCTGGCTCTCGCTTCTGTCGGCGCACTGCCACGTCAGGACGTCAGGATTTCAGGCAGCTACGCCACACGCCAGCCTCTCG